AGGTCCAAGAGATGGCATTTTAGAAGACCAAAACTCAATCTCACTGTAGACAAAATGACAAGGTCCAGACCCTGTAAACCAAAGAGAGTATTTCACAGCCCATGTAGCTGTAGAAGTGAAGACAACCAAGCACATCTAGCTGTAGAAGTGAAGACAACCAAGAATCCAGCTTTTGGAAATGAGAGCAGAGAATTCTGTTTTGACAATTGCCTCATTAGTAATTCTTCTGGTCTGGTGCCTTATGCTTATACTGATACAAATGAAATCAAAATGGACTACTCTGACTCAAACTTAGAGCAACATTTGACATCTAGAAAGGGCCCAGTAGTCTGCAAACGCACTGCTTTTCCTGATGTTATGGGTAGAATGGAAGATACATTTATAGTTGAAGATGAATTACAGCCTACTGCCTCACCAAAGAATTCAGAATACACAGGAAGTGAAAAATTTGCTTACTCAGAACCCAGTTTTATAATATCCACTGCCAGTTCAGATTCAAGAGTGCTTCATCTTGTGAAAGAGAGTAAGACTCAGAAAACCAACTTTTGTGTTGGTACCTCAGAATTGTGTTCATGTTCTTGTAGTTCCCCTGGCAATAGTAATAATTCTATACCTATTACAAATTGTTCTCCTGCAAGATCATCAAATACTGTGTTCAAATATCCTGAAAAAATAATTTCTGAAAGACAAACTTCTTTCCAGCACAAAGACTGGTTTTCCTCCTGTTTTGTGAAGCAGAGTCCTTCAAAGACGCCCAGTAAATACAAAGATGCATTTGAGGAATTCTACTACAAAGTGTGTTCTGAAGAATTCCAAAAGCCTTTGACATTGACAAGACCTCTTTTAAACTCTCAGAACCTTGAAGAGAAAGGAAGTTTAGTGAAACGTAGTTTAAGTGATATTGGGAGGTCCACTAAACAGTGTGATAAAGAATTTGACAGGCTCTATGAAAAACTGTCTAGGGAGTCTTTTCCAAAATTTCCTGGGTTTCAGAGAGCTTCAAATTTGAGAAGATATGAAGAAATACAGATGCCTGAAACTGTAAATGCTCTTGTTAATTCTCCTGTCCGAACTTATTCTGCAATTTCCAGAGTTAAAAGAGCAGGAAGTTCTCAAAACTATCTTCCTTGTTCACCATTAAAGCGACTGAAACTTACACCAGAACATTGTTTTTCTTCAAGAAAATATCAGGAGATTTTCCACAGTAAAACAGGTCCTCAAACAACTGGCATGGATTTTCTGAGCACATACAACTGTAACAACTCCAGCTTTTTTAAAGATCACAGCTATCATTGTCAGGTATTTAAGAACCTTGGGTTAAAAAAAAAAATATGCACCTTTGGATGTCTGGAGAAGGGCTTAAGAATGGATTAGAGCTGCAAGCTGTTGGAACTAGTGATAGCATACTTCCAGTGCTTTTTGGTCAGTAGGCATGTTTTACAGCTCTGGGGGCTTGGGTATCCCAGGATACCTCATGTGAGGAAGCTCTATACTTAATGAATTTAAAATGGTTCTAAATGAAAGATTTGATTCTATTTTAATAGACAATGTCACTGGTTAAAATGGTCTGAAATAGTGACTCAGTTATGGTGTTGTCCTTCTGAAATTATATTAATTTTATAGATGGACAAGGTGAAGCATGCAAATTAATCTTTATAGGGTTTCACAGGAATCATTAGACTTGTTGATTTAAATCAGACACTTATTTCCAAGTTGACAGACGTTTCTTCTGTGGCGAGCTGTGAAACAGTGTATTTTTTCATGAATGTTGTATGTTGCTGCTTGATTTTCAGGGCTCTGGATCTCATGATTCTTCAGATAAAACTTTTCTTTGTATTCCTGGCACTTCCCTGCAAGGTTAGTTTCAGACACTTTATCAATTTGCACAGGAGTATTTTCTTAAAGGAAATTTGCCCATTGAAGTATTTCCAAAGTTAAAATAGGCTAATACTTAAACAACAGACTGTAATGTTCATGCTACTCAACATTGTTCTTGCCCTTTTCATCCACTGTTTTTCATCACCAGAATCTAGGACTGCAAGTGAGCACTATGGGTGGTCTGGAGCAATGGAGAATTGCAGCTCTCCCAGAAATGTGAGGAAGTATCACTCAAGGTAATAATAATAGTAGCCTCTTTAAAAAAGAGATTTCAAAATGAATTCTTACTTCTCTATGCCTGTATTAAAGACATGAAAGTGACATGCATACCTCCAGAATGAAAATGAGTGTGGGAGAGCCCAAGCTAATCACACCTGCAGATTTGAACACTGAGAGGCAAGTGTCTGTGGTCAAAACTAGCCAGACTCCAGCAAGAGAGCTGCTGAACATAAGACAGTAAGATGATCTAACTGAATACCTACTGTAGTCCTTATGTGGTGTTCATTATAGAGGCATTTATTATTTTAGATCTGCTATGGAATTGTTTTGATTGTGGTTGTGTGTTTAAGCTTACAAGTTCTCTCAGAGAGTGCAGCATATTGTCATTTAAAAGGACTTGCAAAAGTTGGCCTCTGAAGTTGGGCATTTTGGCTCTGTGTAAACAAGCAGTGGCTCTGCTTGGAACATATAGACTTCTTCTTCTCCTGCTGTTATCACTACTGGCAGTGTATTTAGATCTCTGGAAGCAGGACACTCTTTCCAGTTTCCTGAATACTGGCCCAATATGTCTGTTTTTCATAGAAAATATGTAACTTTTAAAGGATTATCAAGCTTCAGATATCTTGGGTTTTTAATTACAAGCATTTAATATTCTAAGGATTTAAAAATCATTAAAAGCTCTCTAAAAAAATTCCTAATTTTATTTACCAAAACATTTTTGATGTGCTTTTTTGCCAGAAGTGTAATTTGTCATATAAGGTTATGCTGGCTTCCCAAAATAAGTCAAGAAAAATTTTCACTAAGCTTGAGATGATCATAGGAGGTGATATGAACTTTTTCTGACAATGTTTGAATTAGAAATTCAAAGGAAGGCTGAAAGTATTTTTAAACTACTTGTATGGAGGATTTAACAAGAAGAGCTTAATGATGTGAAGAAAAAAGTTTCAGTTTAAGCAAAGGTGGAATTGAAATTTAGAGGCTTGTATTACAAATGCATAAAGTATTGATAAAGATTATATTTGGATTATTTTTTATATAATGGAAGATTGACGACAAGCTGATGAGTATGCAAGGACATTTCTGTGATGTTGAGTATGCCTGCTTAGCTGAGCAAAGTTCTCCTCAGTTCTTGGATTTCCTTTTGGTTTTTGTCACTGTGTTATCCTGTCTCCCCATATAAAATAGCCTTTCCTGTAAGATTAGTTATTGTTCTAAAGGAAAAGGTTTTTCTCTCTTTAATGCACATAACTCTGAAATCTTCATTTCTCTACTTTTCTTCTAAGTCATCTGGAATAAAATCTATTTCTTTGTTCTTTAATTACACAAAAACATGTTTGCTGATTTATAGCCAAAATGGACTGTCAGCTGGAAAGCTTCCTGAGGCCCTGTGGTGTGATATTTTTAGCTTTCTGTGGTTCCCAGCAGTGAACCCTTTTAATGGCTTCAGATCCCTCAGAAATTTAATGCCTAAGCCATGTGGCAAAATGCTGTATGTTGTAATGAGCCATTGTGAAAAGAAAAGGAATATTGTCTTTCTATCTGGAACCAGATTGCCTTTATCTAGAAGATGATTATGAAAGAGATTTCTGAAAAGGAAATGTTCATATCTAATGAACTTTTCTTCAGCTCTGTGTGAATGCTGTCCTACAGCTTTACTGCTTTACTTGTCAGATGTAAACCAAATTAGTTCAAAATATGACAGAAAATTTATGCAATTTCTTAAGTAATATGCAAGTTGTTCTCACTTGTGTCTTTAACTTTTAACTAGTTGTGAATACATTCCAAGATTGCATCTCAAAGTTTGGTAGATATACATAACTTAGATTGATGTAGTAGCACTAGTGAAGCATTGAAATGACATAGCATGAAAAGCTTCCTCTCCATCTGAAAGCACATAGGAAAACAGACAAGGAGCCTTGCTGCTATTCAGTCAAGATGTTCAGATACCTTGCTTTTTCAATTTCATTCTGTTCATTGGAGTTTCAGCAAATACAGTATTTTTGTGTAATTTACTTCCTCATCTTAAACAGAGGTTTTTGGTTTTTTTTCTTTAGGGTATACAGAAAACTGAGCTACACTGATGAGAAAGACCAATCGTATGAATCCCTTCGATGACTCTGGTTAAAGCTCACCAAGAGGCATTCATGGACAGCTACAAATAAAACAATTTTATATAGGTTGGGTTTTATTCAGTATTGTTTCTTCTAAGAATCAAGAATTTATAATTATATGTAAGCAATACACAACTAGTTCTGATTTATACTTTGCTGTAATATAAATCTTTGGGAAACGGTTTGTCCCTTTTGACTGGGCACTTCTTAATTTGTGGCCAAGTTGGAATTTTATATTTGATTGTATTTGTAATAACAGATTGTTCTTTTTACTTGCTAATAAGCTTTAATTCTTACTGTATTAATAATAAGGAACAAGCTCATTTCCCTAAATTGCTGTCTTTTCATGCTTTTTTGGATGTATCAGTACAGACCCAAAATCACTGCTATATGCTATAACCGGAGTCTCTATGCAATGTTAATATTAAAATTTTCTAAGTAGATCACCAAAGTTGATTGTTCAATAAAATCTTATACTTTTTAGTAGAGCTGGTAATTCTGTTCCATATTTTGACAGAATTCTACCTGACACAATGTATTTTCTAAATTAAAAAACTGTTCTGAACAAATATCTGCCTTCAACATTTTTATTTCACTTATGTGAATTCTCAGGAGGAGTTTGTATACCTGCATGAGCAAATCCATGAGAATGAGGTATGAGGGTCCCACAGATTTTCACCACTGTGGCCTTTCTTGGCAAGGGGATTGTGTTAGTGGTGTGTGTCAGATCAGGCACTTGATATTTTATCAGCACTGCCCCTTGTTAGCTTTCTGAACTTCAGAAAAGGAAGGGATTTGTTTTCTTTGGCTTTACTTTATTTCCAGACACACAGGAGAATTTTATTTTGGCTCTTAAAGTCAAAATCTTATCAGAAGTATTGTTCTTGAATAGGACAAGAAACCAGCTCTAGTGATGTTTTCTCTGCAATAAGAACTTCTGCACACACATTCCATCCTTTATAATTTGGATATTACATTTCTTTCCATGATAACAATAAAATATTGTCTTTTAGAAATGCACTTGGGTCTCTTTTTTTCTTCCTTTTCCAGACATGGATGCACTGTAGGGAATATGTTTTGTGAACTGTCTTCCTCTTGGATTTGTTGAGGTAATTATTTCCCAGTATTTCTTGATATACCAGTACTGAGAGATTGCATAATTCATTGTTTTCTGTTCTAAAGTAACTTAGAAGTCAACTGGAATTGGGGTTTGGACCTGTTCTGAATCTAGATATGACTTCTACACAGCAACTTTAATGCAGCTCACACAGGTAAGGAAGGTAAGTTTGTTTACTCAACTAGCAAAATTGTCTTCATGAAGATTACTTTGAAATAATTTAAAGATGTCATTCTTGGAAAATCTTTGCCATGTTTTGGGTGCTAGCAGTAGCAAAAATGGGACAAAGTTTCTATTTTTAGAGTTGATCTTCCTACACCATGTGAGTGAGCAGACTCTTAAATTATGACATAAGCAGAAGTCTTGTTTTTCCTAATGATACTGTTTAGCCAGGTACACCTGCAGTGATTATCAAATGCTATAATTACTGCTGGAATACATCTTTCTGAACATACAAAGATGTTCATGGTGCTATCTGATCTCTTGTGTTTTGAGTTCCATTCTTCTACTCTTCCAAATAGTTTTGCTTTTTCCACCAATTTCCTCTTGTTTACTCATTCTTTGCTTTTCCATTGAACTGGTACTTGAATGCTAAGCTTGCTATTAATAAAAAACACTTTACACTGCTTCTCTTTCCTGTAAAATTTTTTTTAAGGAACAGTGGTAAACAGATGAGGATACTGAGACAGTGTAAACCTAGAACCCTTCCTCTTATGTTGTAATTAGTTAAAACTTGCTTTATATATAAAGAATTTAATTAGAATATGATTGTTCCATCTTCAAAGCATTAGAGAAAGACCTACATAAACTGTGTTGAACATGCTTTTTCATGTAAGGATTCAGCTACCCCAAAAAACTACTCCAAATAAACCTCATGATAAAAAACCTGGGTCGCTCAATTGCTTATTTAAGCAGATACAGGTTAAAGAGCCAAAAGAATAAAGCTAAATTTAAATGTGGCAGTATTAGAAATGCCTTGGAAATAATTGATAAGGTTATTAAAGATCATCCTGTCTGAGTGCCACAATCAATAATTCTATTGGAGATAGTTATTAAATGTGGAAAGGAAGTGTGTGCACATATATATATATATGGAGAATGTTTACAAAAATGCCCTGCTCTTTGAACAAACTATGTTGTGAGGCAAAGCAGCTGATAAAAACTAGCATAAACACATAGCTGGACTAAACATTGAAGACTTAGAATAGAAAGGTAACTAAATGGACTTAAATCCCATGAAGTGAATTTACTGTTACATGTACAGTCAGTGAGAGAAGTGGGTACTTTATTTCTATTAAATTAGTTATCAGATTGAAATGACAGGTTGAATTTAACCACTGATTTTTTTGATTTTTTTTCTCTCCATAAATTTGTCTCATCCTTTGATGTCTTCATCCACTTCTGCTGTTAGGTATTGGCCCTCTGTACTGTGGATCTTTTCCAGGTCTATCTCTTTCAGGACCTGACACAGCTTTAGGGCTCTGTGTGCTTCAGAGTTCCAAGCTCCTTGGCACTGCTCTTTGTGGATTTTAAAGGCTGCTAGAGCCTGTGTTCTTGAGAAGGCAGAAGTGTCTGACACCTAGAGGCAGACACATCAACTTGCTTTATTGTTTCCTGCAGCAATTACTTAATGATTCCCAGAATATAAAAATAGATACCCACTCTATAAAACTTACCATTTAAAGAGTTTAGTCTTCAAATGAATGTGCACAGTGTAAGTGAAGGGTTTGGGGAAATAAAAAGCTGTTTGTGTTTGTAAAACAGTTTGTAAGGATGGCAGTGGAAAACACAATAGGAATGTAAACATAACACAGAGTATTAGAAGGAAGAAATCCTCCCTAGATTTATTGTTAGAGATGGTTTTATAGTATCTTTGTGGACCCTTGAATACAGCTGTGTACAATGTTACACTAATAGAGGAATTGAGATATGAGACGTATTCCAATATTGTTAGAGGAAACTTAAGGCTATATGAAGATACTGCTAAGTTTTGTGATATGTACAATTAATACTATAAATCAGCTGTTAAATTATTCTCCAGTCATTGCCATAGACCAGTCACAGAAAGTTCACAGTGTGGAACAACAGATCTGTTCTTAATGGGTAAAAACAACTAATCACCAAGTGTGCAAGTACCAAACACAATCTCATTTCAAAAGTATTGAAGTCAATATAGAATAGCTGTACTCTGCTAGAGCTCTATAGACAGTGAGGAGGTCTTTTAGGACTGCTTGAAAGCTGATGCTTGTTTAGAACAGGATCAATTTTTACTGGAATCACTACCATGTGAATGCTGAGTACCAACTTCTGCAACTTTTACATTGTCTTCAGAAGAGCAGATCCATGAGAGGCAGCCTGGACCTATGTCTTGCTTAGTTTATAAATATGCTTGGCAGAGAGTTTGGAACACTTAACCATTTCATACCACTGATTAATATGTCAGCTTTCCAGGATATTATCTCTAATCATTCCTTGTTCCCCCAGAGTGAGAAAGCAAATCTCACTTTATGGTTACATATTTGGTTCATTACCTATTCGGTTCTCCCCTTTTTTATTATGAATCAAGCCCATTAATCTGATGGGGTCATCATGAATGGCTTCTACTTTTGCCGTGTTTTCGGCCGCCAGCTGCTCACTATTGAGGTAAATAATTTTGGAAGCTGCCATGGGATTAGATGATCTTTCTTCCTCATTTTCTTCTAATAAAGGATCTTTCTTTCTCCTTGGTTTTCTGTGTTTTCCCTTGACACTGTGATCAAGTGAGGCATAACACATCTGATTGGCAGACTCCACCTGAAAGAAAATTCATGTTAATGTTCAGTAGTTATCCTTGCTTTAAATTTATATCTAAGACTTCAAGTATGTCTACACTAATCATAATTCTTCCTGAAATTTGCCTAAACTAGCTGTAAAGCAGTTTGTTAAAAGTACAAATGATTAAACTGTGGGAGAATGAAAAACAGATCAATATAAGCTAATGGTAAATGACTTGGTGGCAATATGGAAAAATTTATCAAGGTATCATTGGAAAAATTCTCTGTTGGAAGGAGGGAAACTGATGTAATAAATAAGTCCAGGTTCTTTGGGATGCAAAACATTATTTGATCTGGTTTTCTTCTCACTTATTTTTTAGTTAGAATGCAGTTATTAACAACATTATTAACAGGCTTTATCTGTGCAGAAAACCAAGGATGGATGATTCTTGTCTGTAGATATGATCTCATTTCCAGTGCAAAATGTATGCTTTTTGTGTCTTTCTCTTGGCTTTTTGTGCTTTGCAAGCCAGATCATCAATGATTACTGGTTATGATTACACACCATTGGAATGTCTAGATTAAAAGGTTGTTCTTTTCCTGTGGGAAATTCCCTGTGAAAGCCTGAAAATCAGTCCTTATGAAATATGTGGCAATCGACTCAGGAAATTGATGCTAGGAATGGTTCAATGTCAGGCAAGTTTCATTTGAAGCTTGCATGCTTTTAGGCATACAGGTATCTCAACAAAGTACAAATCAATAGGTAACAATCTTTGCCTGGTTAAGGCATATAGATTTTGCACTGGACAGAAGAGAGCCAGTCAACTTCATGAGTATCAAGTGATGCAGCTTGTGTTTTCACTTGTTTGATAACTAAACCAAATAAAATTAATTCTTTACATAAGCCATGGCCATGGATGCAAATTTAATTCCAAGTGATCTGCATATCTGTGACTGAGCTTTATTATGTTGTATAGTGTGTAACTGAACTGTCTATAATTATGCTTCCTTATTAATGACTCAAATTGAATGGGGCATCAAGTTTGTACTGAAATGCCTTGATGAACTGAGATATTAATGCATGGTAATTTTTGTGACAGTGTGAAGATTTTTGTTATATATTGTTATAGGATAAATAAAGGACCTCCGAGACAGACCACGTTACCCTAACTCAGAAATCTATAACTAAAATTAAAGATACCTGTAGCTGGTTAACTGGTCTTTGAGGCTGGGACTTCATCTGCTCGTAACAACATTCTTCTGTAATTTATCAAAGTAGAAAAATCTTTTTATTAAGCCACACTACTGAGTCTTAAAAGATCAGACCAACAGAGTCTTTCTGTTAGAGAATGTACTCCCCCCAGTTTGCTTTGGTAGGATGTTTGTGCTTGTTTTGAAATCACACACAGATCTCTCTCCCTCTAATTATAGAGAGGTAAATAGCTAAAGAACTCAGACACATACTGTGAAAATGAAAATCATTTTGTGTTCATATGAAGGAGAGGTTTCTCATAATTCACTATATGGGCATCATTTTAGAGTGACAGAAGGACTTCTCGCAGTTAAGAAGTAGCCACATACTGATGTATTTTTCAGCACAGGCAGCCTTTTCTTTGGCTGAGAAAGAGGTTGTGAGTTGCAGCAGCTGGTAATTAAATTCTATTCCTGAGTCTACTTCAGTTTTCTGTAAATTTGGTTCTAGTGATTTTCTCATATCTCATTCTAGCCACCAGTAAAACAGATTACTTCCTTACAGTTTTCAGACTTACAATGTCACTGCATTTGAGTATTGACTTGATTAAATTTATGCAAATTGTGCATGAAAAAGTTGGGTTTGTTTGGGCTTTTTTTTTTCCCCCTGCAGTTCAAGTGCTTTAGTTTTGCTTAGCCCCAGTTAAGGCTTGCAGAAAATGTTGTGTTCTCGTTACTTAAATAATACTGCCTTAACTCTATAAGGGCTTCAAGAGACAAACCCTCGGCACATCTAGCTCTCGCTGCAGTCCTGTGATGTTACAGCCTTTAATGTGGTGTCTCTCTGCCAAGGATTGTTAACTTGAGCACAGCAAAGCAAAGCCAAGCTGTCTGCCCACCATTCAGCTGCTGGGCTTCAGCACATTTGTCAGTGTCGCTGGTGATATGTGGATAGCAACAGCAGAGAACTGGTATGTGTTTGTTTCTGCCTGCTTTGTGGGAGCACTGACCTTGGACCGTGAGTAATGTGTGTTTTAGATTGCTTTAATAGGCATGGAGCAAGCTGTTGTTTCAGTTAGTGCAGCTTTACATTTAGACAAGCTCTTTGTTTTGAGATACTTGGCTGAACAGGACCATATGGACTGTAAAAAATCAAATTCTGTATGATATCTGTTCTTATAAACAGTAGTGCAGTATGAAGGTTTGCATTTCTCTCCCAAGTATATTTTAATGATTTCAATTATATCAATAGTTGAAAAGATGTAGATTCTCAAGTTTGCCATTTGAGAAATGCAAAATATGTCAGTCAGTCATTTTTTAATCATACATTTTTATAGCCACTGTATAGACACATGTTCCTAAAATGAAGCTTACCTAAAATATCTTGATTGAGATTGCCATAAACTGGATAATCTTCTGTGTGATAGCCATCATAGCTACAAGGGGAATGAAAAAATACTTCTAATTCACAGAATATGCTTTATTTAGCAACCCAATATAATAAGTCTATTTTAACCCCAGGACAACTCTATTTTAGCACATGTTTTATGCACAAATGCAGATTGTGCATGTATATTTATATATATAGCAGACTGTATGTGATCTTACAAACAAGATCCAAGATATTAGCAGGGGCAGAATTGGCAGTATGGGTACTCTCAGGAGAGATTTGTTACCTAGCCCAGAACTGAACTCTCCTTTCCTGACACTTCATTAAGCGCAAAGCTAGTCTCAAGACTACTGAATGATTAAGCTACAGTTTGAGGTAGGGTAAGAAATGTTAGTGATCACTGAAAGGAACCCAATTCATGTCCTCTGAAACCACTCTGCAATACAAACAAGAGCACCATATGTGTCTTTTGGGGTGATGTTCTTAAAAGGGCCCCTCTTGGTTCAGCTAAAATTCTTCTGTCAACACAGAGAAGTCTGAAGCCGAGTTCAGCTTCGCATTTTTAATTGTATGTTGTGTTTTACTACCTGGTGTTACTTGAAAATGTTTCTAAGTGGGTTTGTGAAATGGGAATTGTTAGTGGGAAAGCGCTGTGTAACCTTCCTAGTGTACCCCTATATTACATCTTGTCAAGGGTGTGAAGTCATGCTCTGACACCACATTCAGTGGTATTTTTCATCTGAACAGGCAATAATGGACAAATAGAGACTTCCCAATTTCAAGAAAACTTGTAATTGAGAATTGGTGTGGGTAAAAGGAGCAGGAGTTTGTATTTCTGTTTCAAGGGCCTTTTATATTTCGGTTGAGATGAGACTATCCATTTCTGTTTCCTAAAATTTGGGATTTGCTTGGGGTTTTTTTTCCTGTATGGCATAAGAGCGAGAGAGACTTGAAACAGATTTGTGTAACAGATCATGAGGTATCCTGCAGCTGTAAACAGACTGTTTTATGACTTTTGGATGCCATGTGTAAGAGGTGGTTATGAAATGTAAATACATGTAAATTATTGCTTCACAAGTATTAACTATCAGACTATAATTGTCACTGTTTTGTGAAAGCTGAGAGTTCTTTTAAATTATTATAGAATTATTGACTTTAAGTGATAGGTAATGGTGGTTTAGTTCAGTATCTTGCACTTTCAGAGAAAATTATAGTATTAGCATGTAATTATTTCATTGTTGATAAAATGACTGGAGGATGTATTTCACATGAAATTTTTTCCCTGGGTTTTTTTGAAAACTTTTTTTCTACAGCCAACATTTCCAGGTACACTGCATGAAATACTGAATTTTCCTCTATGCCATCCCTCCAAAGCCATCTGTCATTATTTATTATATATTTTACCCTTGCCAGAAAGAAACTTTTTTATTCAACTTACCTTGGATTGTTCTCTTCGTAGTCTTTATCCATTTTAGCTGGAAAATTTATTTAAAAGAAAAAGTTAAGAGAAAATGAAACATTATTTTAGGACACTTCAGATAATTGTCTCAACAGGCAAGCTTTTGGTCTTGTTTTAGAGAATACAGTTAAAAGCTCTGGCTCTCAGGATCTTCAGTTGTCCCTCTACATTTCTCAAATACTTTTGTCAAATACAAGAAATGTTTGTGTTGTGGCCCTGTGCAGTGGCTGCAAAGTCTACATTAGTTTACAGTACCAAAAACTGTATTGTAACTCATGTGATTCGTTTTTTTATTTCCTCCACTTTCTGCTTCTTGCTCATCTTTTTCTCTCAGATTTTCTCTATATGGGGAGGTGAATCGTGTTAATATTACAAAGTGACGGTTTTATTTATTTTACTAGTTCTGCTGGCAGGTCTGAAAAAGAGATCTTGTGATCCACACAGATGAAGAAACTGAAGCAGAGATGCAATGGCTACAAAGATATTTCATGCTAGAGCTTGATTAATAATTTAGGAATGCCTGACTTTAATCTCTGCTCCAGGACTCCAGAGTTTACCACAGTTAGCGCCAATTTGACAAGTAATGCAGCATCAGCCACTGACCTAAACCTTGGTCAGGTTAGTTTTGTAAATAACTGTGATTCTTCCTCATAGTAGTATCTGCCTAGTAGCCCTAAAACACAAAATAAACCAAAAAGGTCAATCCACACCCATCCCAAAACACTCCAGTAACTCTCTTAATATCCTGTGACTATCTGATTCTCTAATACAGGTGCAGTTTTCCCTGTGTAAAGGGAATGGTGAGGGTTGTACAACTTCCCAACCACAGAACTGCATGCATAAGACAAGTTGCACTGACACAATCTGTCAAAAAATAGAAGTTAATTTCAAACAAAACCAGAGTATGATTGTAGTCATATGAGAGACGCATTGGTTTAAGAAATAGAGTAGAATCCCATTACGAAAAGCAATTAGAAGGTTTTTCCAAAGTCCATTGCTAAGGCATAAAGTCTGTATGAAATCAGAAATTCAAACAAGCATTCAGGAATTTGGGGAGGATAAAATTTCCTCAAATGTATTTTGTATCAATGTGTCTACTTAAAATAATTTTTAAATGGAAGTATAGATAATAACCAGGAATAGGAAAAATATAGTTCCTAGGAAAGGAAATTGCAGGTATAAAATAAATTAAAGTATAATAAATATACTGATACATAAATTTAAAGTGTATTTAAAATATACTTAAAAAATTTAGTCAGAACTAAATTCTTCTTCTGGTTCTGCTGGTTTGTCTTCAGAGAATGGATTTGGGTAGCTGTTTTTAGCAGTGGATTGGTCAGTTAGCAATCATTCTGTAATCATACCTGACTCTCCTAAAAATTTTTTAAAGCTTAATCCTCTCCAGTAAAATCATTCTTGCCAAAATAGAAGTCAACTCAATATCTCTGAGTAGGGATGGCTTTAAACACTGAAACTCAATTTCTTTCAAAGAGACATTACTTACCTTGCTTCTTTTTCATACAGTGTGAAATATTCAATGTCAACGAAACAAGCAGAGCCAAACTAAGGAAGGCCAAAACTCCCCAGACAGAAAAATGGCAGTCCATTCCTGTAACTGAAAGAAAATTTACTGTTTGTGTTGTCTAACAATATTACTGTATTCTTTGTGCTTGGCTGAATTTTGCTTTCTGTAATCGAAGCTGCTATTTTGTTGTTTTCTCTCTGACAGCTACTGCTATACAAGCTAAATAATTAATATCAAAACCAGATGCTAAATAATAAGAAAGCAACTTTAATAAACTGTTAGCAGAAATACTGTTTCATAGGAATTCAGCCAAAGATTAAGCTATTGGTTTGCCTGTAAGTTGCAGTTAAAATCAGAAATTAATAAAGAAAAAAGCAGTTTTACTGAATAGCTTTGAAATTATTTTTGCATTTGTCTTTAAGTTAGTATTCGTGGTAAATTAAGTAAATTCTTAGCTGAATTCTAGAGTTCATGGAAGTAGTTCTGAATTTAGTCAAAACAAATTTGCTGGATGTGTCTCTGAATAGTAGCTAAGACTGAAATGTTTTAACAATCCCTGCAAAAGAAGTCAAAATTTGGTTATGTTTTCTAACATTGTTTTCCACCTATTAAAACCACTTGTACTTATTTTCTTGCCTGAGAAACCAGAGGAAGTCAGTGTAAAGGATAAGCATCAGCAGGGAACCAGTGGAGCCCCAAGTATTGCTGCAAGGAAAAGTTCAAACAGCTCCTGGAAAATCACTTGGTAAAAGGTAGGTGTACTTATTTGAACCAAGTCTTTTGCTCTAAACTTGCCTCTCCTTGCACTAAGAAAGACAGGAAAGAGCTCACCTGCACAAAATCTATTTTTTCCATTTAGTTAATTCTTTGATTAACCTAGATCATACAAATTTTCCACCACAAACCAAACCATGCTGAAGAAAAGAGCCTGTTTGTGTCTGTCTAGCGGCCAGAGTGATCATCATTACTGCGAATGGCCTGCAAAAGCCTTCCTTGACAGAGAAAGCACCCACACAAATAAAAGTGAAATGAGCTTGAAGCTTGATTCTTGACTTTCCCCAGAGGCATGTTTCATGTTCTCTGAGATTAGGAGTGTTTGAAATAAAGCCTGGTGCCCAAAACTAATGAGCTCCTCTAATAGTGCATAAAAAGAGATGTGTAGCTGGAGCAGAGCAGTCAAGGGGCTGGATTGCACAATACTGACCCTTAATACATTTTTTGTTGTTTTTTGACATATCTGGAGTCTCTCAGGAAGCTGACATTTTGTTTTTTTCTAAAGTAAAGCTGAGTTAGAGGAGTAGAGGAATGCACTTTTCCATGATGCTGGCCAGGGAAGGGTGGCAATGCATTTGCTCCTGCTGAGAAGGCAGAGCTTTGTTCCTTGACTGACCAGCTCCAGCTCAAAACCTTCTTACAGGTTTTGATCCCTCATCGTGTTGGTGTTGCCAAAGTTCTTTTTGTTTTGTTGTTCCGACCCCCAGATGTTTTTATAATGACAAAATAAGATAAGATAAGCCCTGGTAGTAAAAAATCACAAATCACCTGGGCTTCTGGGATGCAGGTTTCTTTCCTGATAAGAACTATCTTTTAAAAGGAATAAAGCAAATAAGTTGTCATTTTCTGTCAGACTTGTAACTTTTTTTGCACATGGTACTTTCAGTGACCATTTATTCTTGTTTTTAAATTAAACATCCTGTTTCCCTTCCTTTCTACCACTTGAGATCTCCCAAAGGTATTTGAGAGTTCTTTCTCACTGCAATGCTACTTTTCATGTTGTAAGGCACTTTTCTGCAATGAGATACAGAGATTCATGAGGAGAGACAACATCTCCATGGAGCAGCTATACATCGTTCCAAATATTCAGGGAAGGAATTAAAAGAATGGGTGATCCTTTGCTGAGAAGATGTTGTCAGGATGCATCAAGAATCACCAGTCTTTGGAACCTGGTTACTGTACAATTAGTCACTTGATATTGCATCCCATGAAACCTGTCCAAAACTACAAGTCTGTCCAGGACAAGAAATTTCAAGTTTCACTGTTGTGCCAAAATAATCAGAATCATCTCTCATTCTTCTCCTGTTTTTTTATATTTCCTGATGTGATCGGCTTCCATTCTTCTCATGTTCATTTCATTTTTCCTTTCCTACAAACCCTTTTTCCAGTGAGCAAAAGCAGTATTGTGGCCTAAGAGAAGGGAAGTAACTGTGATAGAATCACAGAATCAGCTGCATTGGAGAAGTCCTGTAAGATCTTCGAGTCCAGCCTGTCACTGAACAACACCTTGCTGGCTGCACCGTGGCGCTCAGTGCCACGGCCAGTCTTCCCTGAAACACCCCAGGGACAGGGACTCCACCAGCTCCCTGGGCAGCCCATGCCACAAGCCACAACACTGCAGTTCATTAGAATAAGGAGTCAGCCGGTACCTAAAATACAGTTATGATCTAATGTTGTTCTTTTTTCTTCATATAGAATGTTGTTATTTATCTCTCTGATTCAGTTATTCAATTTTTCCCTGGTGTTTCCAGAGTAGAAGGAAAACTCTTAGTTTCAATTTGACTATTTTCAGTCCTTAACTGGCCCACTTTTTGCTGACAAGTATTATTTTCCTGTTTCAGCTTTTGATTTAAATTGAAATTATTATCTGGAAAACAGTAAAGGTTGGACAAAATTTTTTTCTTTTACTTTTCAAGTTTAAATTCTATAGTATTTTAGCAATCCTACTTCTCAAGAACTTTAAAAACATCATGGGAAAAAAAAGATATTGAACTTGGATTCCTCATAAAACATGCCAATGTTTTTACATCTCACAATCTATAGTTCTTTCTTAAGCATGATTTAGGAAATTTCATGGGTGTGGGTAGATTAAGAAAAGAATATTTAAATTTCTTCCTGGATGAAAACTACTTAGTTTATTTTTAAATTTATTTTCCACAACACTGACTTAAACATCTGCTTGTGTTTCAGTAGAATGTATACAAACATATGTGTGACTTCAGTATATTTTTGTTTGTTTGTTTTTGCAATACTAGCTATTTGTTTGTTAGACAACACTTATATGGGCGAAGCAACAGCAGTTTTTACTTCACCCATAAAACCATAGTAAACACCTCGACTGGAGATGTGCTGTTCTGAGAGCTCTATGCCAATCTGACATTAGTCTCAATCTAATCATATTACCCAGATAGAAAATATGAGAAATTCCAATTTTATATCCTAGCTTTACAGATACCAAATTCCCAGATCTTTCCCATGTCATCTTGTTCTTATAGGTGTTTCTGAAATGCTGCTTACATTTATAACTGCATTATTTTGATATGAACTACTTTGACAACAGCAGCATTAGAAGGAAAGCTGACTAACTGTATGAAGAACAATTTGTCCCCAGAGATAACTATACTGCTCTCCCTAAATATACAACAGCAGATGCAACATCTCATGGTTTAACAGGTTGTGCTAAAGACAAAAATACGATAAGGAGACTGTAGATGGTGAGTGAGAAATAAACAGCCAGTCTATTAGACTAATTATATTCCATTTTGAAATGGTGTCTTTTAGTCTAATCTCTAATTTTAATTCTCATTCAAGCCATCTATCTTCAAATGGAGCAAAACTATATTAATCTTTTTTTATGTAACATGTAGTTAGTCCGAAGAACCCATGACACTGTATCAGGGGCATTCTCATTCAAGCCATCAAACTGACTATTTTAAAAAAAGTTTGTTGTATCTTTTGAAAAAAATTATATGGAATAATTAGGCTGCTTGGGAATAGGGCACTATGATTCTAAAACAATGAGCTCAAATTCTATCAGGATTTTCTGTGATAGGAAAACTTAAGGATGGTAGTAGTTTGTTACAAGAAATAATACTGAAGTATTCTTAAAGTAATGTGCTCCTCTGTAAAAGGAAAAAGTTCATTATATACCCAAAGGTTTCATGAGAGGGACAATTCTTGTTATAGTACTAGAAGACTTTGGGATGCATGAGTGGAGAATAGTATATTTAATAATTATAAAGATGACAGTATTTTGATCAACTAATATCATACTCTCTCTAGTATTAATGGTATGTTCTTATGCTGCTGTTCTTCCATTTCTCTTTGAAAACCAGGTTAAACTTGGGGTATCCAAATAGAACATCTGTCTTAGGTAAGTTACTGCATTTGGATAATGTTTTTACTTTTCTGACTTTAGGGATGCGGTAACTCAACAACTCTTAGTGTATTTTACAGTGTTATAAAGTGAAGATACCGTATTCACACCACAAAATACAAACAGAAGACCTTCTAAATACGTAGTTAATTGTGCTTTGTCTCTTTAAAATTCTATTGACAACTTTCTCCACCAACAGAGACAAGACATGGGAATAAAGAGTTTGGGTGTTTTGTTCTTAAGTTTTCTCTTTACAGGGTTCATTACACTGTCACTGGAGGGCTGTGAGAGAAAAGAAGCTAAAAAACCAAACAAACAAACAAAGAAAAAAAAAAAACCCAACCAAAAAAACCACAAAAGCCTCCAAAACATTCTAACCTTTCCTGGATGAATTTCTGCTATATATTTTATTGCAGCTCAAAGGAGTGGACATAATCCCGTACTTACCTGCAGGAAGTGGAGCCAGATTTAACAATTCCTGTTGGATATTTGTTCTCTTAACAACATAAGACTAGGTAGCAGAAGTGCTACATTTTGCTCCTCCTTGCTGTAATGAATTTTGTTTGGAGAATCCATCACAAAGGATAACAGGGAAATAGCATACTTGTACCAGGTTTTTGAACTGAAAAGGAGCGTGAGGAACACAGATACCATTTTAGCTGGACATGCCACCTGTGGTAACATGTTATCCACAGAGGCAGATTAATTGCTACCAGATTTATGGTGACTATCTGGAGCACAAAATAATTTCTTTCCTTTATTTCCTCTTGTTTTTGTCTACAAATTTGTTAGAGATTAGATAAAACTGTCTTTCCTCCCCCCTTCCATTTAAATGTTGTTATAAATAATATTTTGTGCTAATGGGCCTCAGAAAAAGAAACCCATTAAGAGACTGATGAAAGTTAAATTAGCATTAAAAATGCTTCCACCTGTGTGAGCTTTTAATAAAGGATTAATTATCTGAAAAAGATTCCTTAAACTGCAATTAATTAGTGCACAACTAATTGCTTTGTAAGATATCAACATCATACTTCAGAAAGGAAACAGCACACTGTAAAATAAGAAGGTGCACAGCACAGTATTTTCAGCATAAAACTAATGCTAATGCTTAATCTTCGTTACCAAACCTTAATTAATGAAGGTTTAGCACCCTAAGCCACCTTCTTGGAAGACTGCTAATCTACCATAGTGTGGTTCTACTACCCCTATGCTGACAAGTTTAAAAAATAAGTCTTACCTGGTTTTGTTGTTTCTAGGAATATTCCCCTTTATTCCCCCTTTATCCAACAGGAAATCAAGTTATGTTGGCAGATGTTGGGTACTCTTTTTGTTTGGAACCTGGCAGCATGAACCTGTCTTTAGAGTTGCCGTCAATCTCAAATCTCTCCAGTCTTTTATTTTCACCTCCTTTCTTATAAACAGGAAATGTGGTTCAGCTTTTACAAGTTAACGTACGTTCTCCTTCAGTGTTTGCCTCCAAGAGAGAATTAAAGTATTTGTGTACCTTTGTATTTATTGTCTACCTGTCTTGCCTCAGAGGAACATGCACAGGACTATTAGTTTCGTTTGTGATACAAACTTGCTTTTGGAATATTCATACTCACACTCTAAGTTTTCTTGGGCTTAATGTTATGTTGAATTCAACGAAAGTATTTAGATACTTCTTAAACTCAATTACAGAACTATTTTACCTAGGAGTGCTATGTGACCCCTCCTCTCTTGGGCATTCTAAACCAAGTCTGAAAAACATTGTTGAGAGTTTAGCAAACAGAATTCAGAGGCATGATGAGGGAATTATAACACTGCCAGCTCTTGAAATTCAGGTTAGAATAACATAATTCCATTCCTCCATTCTTTAGAGTTTATGAATCTGGGGCCGCAGTCCAGGACAGCTGTGGAAAGAAAGGATAAATCAGTGTGTGGCTTGTGTATTTGTCTTTAGAATTTAATGAAACAAGTCTGTTTTTAGGTAGAAAAGCTTTTTTATTCTCAGAATCGGAGGAGCTTCTTCAAGAGGAAGCTTGCACACTGAAAACTGTCAAAGAAACCTTCTGTTAACTTCTGATGTTTTAGATATAGTTTGGATTTTGGGGTTTTTCTTCAGAAACAGTTTTATTTCCTACAATGTATAACGTAGAAGTAGGAGGGGTTTCTTAGGAAAAAAAGTGAGTCACATGGCCATGTTTGTCTTTTTGGAATACATAAACTGAAATAGCCCAAAGTGTAGTCTAAGGAACAATGTAAAGCTCTGCTCTTCAAGAAAGACTCTAATGTGAGAAAATGTCCTCTGTAATCTGGGTTTACTTGGGATGCTATTACTTTGGATTATTATTTTTTTATTAACTGCCTTGGATCAATGCTTAAGAAATAATTTACTGGATTAACATTTTATTTGAACATGAAAGAACAGATTAGTCTTGATTAATATAATATATCCCATTCAAATCTAAGGGTGATCTACACTTTTAACTACTCAGAACTTTTTCATAATGAAGTGAATAGAGCAGGAGGAATTAATCTGAAAATAGTCAAAATGGTGGGAATTCTTATAGAAGGATACTGAACCAAGAGAGAAACTGGAAAGGGTGGAAGATGTGCACTGTGAAAAGGAAGACAGTTGCTTAGTTTCTCAGCTAAGGGCACGAGGAGTAAATCTGAGATCTGCAGGGGATTCAGAATAAAATGCTTATCAGCCTGAACAAGAAGCTTACAAGAAATAAACTCCTTTGGAGGTAATTAGGAGCATAATGGAAAGGTGAACACTGCGAATGTAGCAGGGGATTTCTGGGTTTGTAGTGTTCCCAGTGTGTTAATAATTCTGCTCTCCAAGAGCAAATCATTGCTGTACTGTAGCAGCTTCGAATGTCTGCAAAAGCAAAGTCTTTTGGAATAAATGCAAACTTGGTATGCTATTTTGGGCAACCTGCAAGAGACAGAAGGCTCTGTTAGATAGCAAGAAAATATTCACTTCAGGCAGTAAAATCCATTGTGAATATGAGGCTTCTTTTTTCTTCCTTTCCTTTGTATCAGTGCTACATTAAAAGACTTAGGGAGCAAGTAGACAGCTTAAAGTGCTGTTATTCAGGATAATAGAGACAAGGACAAATCATGACTATATTTGGAAAGACAGGACATAAGGTAATGCTACTTCATCCCCCACTATTGCATACAAAGGCATTTCTTCCTCTTTTTTTTAGTCCCCAAGCTATAAATTCCTGGGTGCAAATTCTGGGAAAGTGTCTCTGCCTGCTTAACTACATACATGATCTTTGGTAAACATATGATGCTGGTATCTCGAGAAAAGAGTCTCTCTCAAGTGGACATCTGCCTTGGCTGGGAATAGCTCTTGCTACTGAAGTTCTTGGAGAAGGTGAACGGAGCACGATTAACTATTGATGTGCACAGATGTATATGAAGGAGTGAGTCTGTGCTGAAATGGAATCAAGCAAACAGTGTATAAGTACATTTTGTAATCCATGCAAGTTGCCAGCAAGTTTTGCTTTTCTGAGACTGCAGAATGCATGTTTATTCTGGCTTCCTGAAGGTGAAATAAGTTGCACCACTGATAACACCATCAGGCCTCAAATGCCTACTTTCTCTATTACTATTCAAATTACAGTCTTTCTTTGAAAAATCATATCAGTTTCTATGCTAAGTGTTGTAGTGGAAATCCCCTTGCAAAGAATGTAAGAGACACTGTTTGTAGTAGGAGTCTTGAAAAGAATTGGTATTGCTGCAAGATGTAAATTGTACTTCTGTTTGAAATGGAAATCTACTTTTAATAATGAAATTTCAGAATTCTCTGGGCAAAGTAACTACAGAAGAAATGTTTTTTGTTTGGTTTATGCTGAAGTGGAGTCTGCTCTCACAGTTCTAGTCTCACAAGCATATTGGAGAAGTAGAACTGCTCTTTTAAGCTGAGTATGTGACTCTTTGCTTCCATGTCAGGTGCAGACCTGGTCTCCTTGTGCAGTGAACACAAACGAGGAACAGTGCTACAGGAGAGAGGTTGGTTTAAAATAGCTGCCAGAAAGAGAGAGGCCTTTCAAGTGAGCTTCAAATGCTGCAGAGAGCTCTTCTCTCTCTCACAGTGAATTTTGTAATTAATGATAAAAAACTAATCAGGGTCCTTTTTGCATTGTAGACAAGCCTGCCTTTAATCACCATTTTACGTAAAACTTTTTTAACACTTAAAAAAAAAGTGTTAAGCAGAATGCTGTCTCATTAACTACCCCTAAAATTGTGGCTCCTATTAAAAGCAGTATTATGGGTTTCCTGTGGGGAAACCACTGGGTAGGTTTCTTTTTCTGAATGCTACAAAACCTTATTATCAAGGACTATAAAGAGAAAATTTCTTATCTTGATAATTCTGCACTGAAAAATTTCCATTGAAATCTAACACTGCATACTTGTGCAGTTTTGGGTGAAGTTTTCTGTGCTGCACACTTTGAGATAGAGCAGTCCCTGTGTACTTAGCAGAGAGAAAACAAAACAGATGCCACTTCATTCAAAACCAGAATACAGAAATAAAATGTGGCTTTTCCTTTGACTTCACTAGATTTTATTCTCTGTTCAGATAGACATTGTTTCCTGAGAGAGAGGTAGTCTCTAGTGATTTTTCTTTCAATAGCTACAATAAGAATGAATTTCCTATTAAAGTGCTATAATCCATTTACCCAGTTTTAGGATTTTTTTAGCTCCCTCTTGACACACTTACACAAGAGTGTGGGAAAATTCTTTCCCCTGGGCAGCCAAAGGCCTGGCCCTGCAACTACTCCTCTTGTGAGACATCCTTGTGAAGCCAGCAGGCTCTGTGCTTGATAGCAAGCTTACAACTCTATCAACTTTGACCAAAGTGCAAGAGGAATTTGTGAGCAAAATAGCAACCTTAAAACTGAGCTTGTTCTTTTAAAAGTTTTTTTGGGACTACCACAAGCATGTCCATGTGGCTCTGTTGGAGCTAGTGTAAAAAACCCAGACTCATGTACACGTGGCCTGAAGCCTTGTGGAGAATCACCCTGAACAATCGAAGTCCCTTGCTACGGCCTGAGCTGATAAACTGGCTGCTCACTTGTCCTCACTGCTGAAGTGATGAAGCTGACTCCTGCTCTTGTGTCCTTAGCCACAAGGACACTCCTGACCTTGATTCCTGCAGTGTGTCCTTAGCCAGCTTAGCCTGCATAGTGGACTTCCTCACCATGGCTAAGAGAATGTCAGAAGCTCTGTGTTCCAGTGAGTTAAACTGTTCTACCTTGAGTGTTCCCAGCCACAAATCTGAATGAAAATAGCCCTTACTTTGGGAAAAACAACTCCTGCCCTCTACTGAGTGACTGGTGTTGCAGGTAATGAATTGTAACTCAGGGGGCTGTCTCTGCATTTGAACACTGTCTCTTCCACCACTTTTTGAAGCCTGTGTTATCACAGAATGGTTCATGTTGGCCTGTCCTTCTGGGCACAAGAAAAGTTCTGAGCTCTTTAAAATCTGATGGAGACATAGTCTAGGCTGTCTTGTCGAGAGTTCTTGTTACAAGTCAGACTCTGGTGTATACATGAATGCTCCCACCTCACTTTGCCATGACATTGCAAGTGAAAGCACTTGAACTACATGGTTTTCTCCTCTGAAATCCCTCCTGAATTTTATCTAGAAGGACACTATTTCCCTCACACGACGCAGTTGCCAGGGGGCAGTAGGAGAACCACTGAACTGGAAGTAAAGTGCACGTGTGACAAGTCAGAAACAGTGACAAGGAAATGAAAAAAATTATGAGCCTGCCTCAGCTTAATCTGTGATTTCAAATATTTGCCAGTAAGGTATCTCTGTAGTGCATCTTAATGACTGCTTAGATCTAATTGGAGTGTGTATAGGTTAAGAAAAACATTATAAATAATAACTGTGAAGCTAAGCTAAGCCTTGAAAAGTGGTCACTGATGCATTGGAGTAATGAATTTGAACTGAACCACTTAACTACTGAACCTTTCAACTTAACAGTGTTGTGGTTACATCTCTATTCTATTTAAAGAACTTTCTGGTAAGCAGACAAAAGTGCTCATCTTGCCACATTCACGGCTGTTAAAACATTGTTTTCTTACTACTTCCTGCTGAGCAGCACATTTGGGCACAGCAAAGGGTACACTGCTTCTCTTGTAGTTTAAACTGTCAGACTTGTTAGCTTTTACAGAAAATTAGAACACAGGTGCATGGAAAATGACTGTCTTGTCCCACAAAATGTTGAAAGCCTATGAAGTGACTGTCCTACATTGGCATGTACATTTTGGTGTTTCTCAGAGGCCAAAGCAGGTAGTGTTCCAGGAGCTTTCTTCGAGCACAGGAGTCTTGGATTAACGTGTCTGTGTGAAGCAGGCAGGGCATAGGCAGAACTTCTGTGTGAGAGATGAAAAATGCAGTCATGGACCCCTTTAGGTATCGTGGGTGGCCTTATTCTGTCATGCACAAATG